AAAAAAAAAAAAAAAAAACTTTTTTTTTTTTTGGTTGACCTAAGTTCACATAATGGCTGGGTGTATATTTTACGCTAAACCAGAGACTTACAACTTCCATTGACCTGAGGACCATGCCAGGCTATGTGTAACATGTCAAAGATTATACTCCAAAAACCTTTGGGACTATAACCCATTTTGGAAGCAGATTTTGGGAGTTTAATGGATGCTGTAAGATCAACAAGGCAACCATTTTGCCCCTTATAGCCTCCGAAATCCCACAAAATACCCTAAAGCTCCAAATTTTTGGCCCTATTATTTCTAGGGTCTCTTGGAGGTGGGGTTATGGAAGGAATGCTGGTGGATCCTATTTAGCCCCTGGATATCATGTTTTGCACTCCTGTGGTAAGCTATAAAATGATGTTCTTGTCTTTGGCTTAGCCTGTTATATGAACCTAGTCATTATGGTCTGTAAACCACAGTTGATGATTTTTTGTGATGCATGAACATAGCCAGTTCATAAACTTTATAAATAATCTATAGCTTAGCACTGTGGGTGAATCCTGTGAATGAGTTGAACCAAATCTTGGCCTGTATCATCCAACCCATTTGCACTTCTGAAATTCGTTGTTGGAGTCCCCTGTTTAGTTGAATCTTTCTCTCTCTTTCTAGTCTGGATCCGAAGTCATCTTCGGTTTTCAAAGAAAGAATGCTAGAAGGTCTCTCAGCCGATGATTCTTTTGCAGCAAGTTGGACTTCCTCCTCTTCCTCTTCCTCCTCCTGAAACGCTTCCATCTCTTCCTATGTCAGTGGCCACCAGGCCCACAGCCAACTTGCGACTTTCTCCACAAAAGCCACTGGGACCAGGGCCATCCTTGCCACTTGCACAAGATGAGGAACTTGCCACAAGGGGGGAGCAGGACCCCTTGCTGGAGGAACTATGCAAGCCTTTGTGCTGTAGGCTTTGTAACGTCACCCTGAACTCTGCCCAGCAAGCCCAGGCACATTACCAGGTGAGGAGGAGAGTATCTGCACGTGCAAATCTCTGTGTGTGTTTGGGTGGGAGCTGGCTTTCCTTTCCCCAGCCCAAAGGTTGCTACTCTTTTTCCAAGATGAGGTGATTGGAGGTATCAGCATATACATTGCAGCTGGTTTGAGAAGATAATGGCCCGCCATTTGGGGCAATCTTTGGGCAGCTCCTGGTGTTGGACTAAAAACTGAATTATAAATCAGGACTCTTGGTTCACATAGTATCTTTGCCATGAGTTTGCAATATGGAGCTCATAAATGAAGCATCTCCTTTTAAAAGAAGCTTGCTATTGTTTTCCCACGATTGTTGATTATTATTTATAAGCTACTTTGGAAGGATTTCTGTTTTGAAAGACCAGGTATAACTAATTGGAATGGATCATGATAAACATAATGAAAGAGTAATAAATGAAGTAAAATTTGGAGGCTTGAATTCTAAGGAGATAGATGAGCGCTGTTAAAGGAGGCACAAAGTGTCAGCATGTTTTATTATGTGGTGACCAGCCAGAGAAATCCAGTAATCTTGCAAATAAGATAGGATTCCTGCAAAATAATATTCAGGGGAAAACCTTCCTTTGATTCTAGGATAGAACTTAGTCATATACTATAATACCCATATACTATACCATTTATGATGCTCCACTACTATGTATCCATCAGGGCCAAGTGTCTGACTTTCCCATCCCCCTATGAATTTTTCTAGTTCCCATCCCGCCATTTGGTGGCTATGCATTCCATAATTAATTAAGCCTTGTCTATGTAATTGTATTGGTCCTCAATCTTTTGGCATTATGTGTCGATGGGTTTTATTTATTTATTATATTATTTTCCATGTATGACTGAGGGCAGGTCTTAGCCAACACTTTAACCACTACACCACACTGGCTCATGGGCTGAGGGACTATTGTGAAGTTATTCAGAGAGCTTCCCTGGCTGAGGTGGCGCAGATTTGAAGCTGGATCTCCCCATTCTTAGTCCAATGCCTTTTCCAGTACCCCACACTGCTCTTAGTGGTCCTATATTATGAGATAAGCTGCTCTTCCTGGATACATAATGGCCCCCATTTTATGAAGTCCTTGGTGCTCTCTGAGCTGGGTTGTTTGCTTGGAGATGTTTTATTACCCAGCTAGGTAACATCAGTGCTAGATAGCTGGATAATGAAACAACCAAGCTCAGAGAGCACCAAGGACGCCCTAGTTCAACCCTGAGCTACAGATATGTCTTCTGTTTGTCCCATTTTATGTATATGTTCAGAGTCAGGAAGATTATACCTGTTTAGTGTTAGCTGTAAAATTCAGGTAAAAATCCCCTTTTGAAATGAGAGAGCCTTCCCATGTCCTCTGTTCGCTTAATAGCGCTAGGTTATTTCACCTTCCTAGTCAGTCCGATTGCAAGACCTGCCTCTTAATGCAAGAAGGAGCAATGAACTTCTCTCTGTTGAAGGTCTATCCTAGACTTTGCATGGCCCATCAAGGGCTATACTTCCAAGACCCTTTTGTGGGGAGCAGCTTCAGGCATTCTATGCGGTAAAAAGGGTCCTTCGACCCCTGCAAGGCTTAAAGCACTAATTTTCCTCCTTAATACACTCCCCCAAATCCACTCCTCATAGAAACTCCCCAAAACAGAAAAGGAGGCCCTGAAGATTTTAGTTCCACCACTCAGGATCGCTAAAGGCTCTAGAAGGAATGGTGGCAGGTCACCTGTAGCTTTGGTGCATTTTTTGCACCCCTTCAAAACTACTAACAGAAACTTGGTTTTCCAGGGTAAAAACCACAGTAAGAAACTTCGGAACTACTATGCTGCCAACAGCTGCCCAGCTCCTGCCCGAGTGAGTAACTCTCTTGAGCCAGCTACTCATCCAATGGTGTCCCTTCCGCCCCAGGTAAGGGCGCGCAGCGGTGTGGCATTAATGAATCAGTAGCGCATGTTCTTCCATAAGAGAAAGGATATTCCATATTATTTTCTTTTGTTCTGCTTTGATGCTTCCTTGTTTTTTTTTTTTATCTAAGTTTAATTCTGCTTTCTTATAAACTGCTTGAGTTGGCCTGTTGAAAAGCAGAGTGTGAACTTTAAGGCAAACTAGAGGCTGTGTTGAATATGGGTTGTTTTAAAGTGCTTGGGTTTTATTTGTTAAATAGCAACTTGGGAAAGTTTCATTCTTTCCCCCCAGCATTTCAATCCTTTTCTCCCCAATGCTGCTGCCCCTTTGCAGGCTTAAGAAGCTTTCCATGAAGGTACCAATTCTTTCTCTTCCCTATGGACTGTTACTGTTTAAATGTAAATAATCAGATAGACTTATGCATGCGTATATTTAATATATCGTCTAGATGAGGCTTTGCTGAATGGACTTGTTATAAAAGCCTATAACCTGATTCACGCATTATGTTCAGTTAGGGTTTACTTAATCGCAATACGTTGAATGTACCACAATTGGTTAGGTTCACCCATTACGCTAAGCCACAAACCAGAGTTGACAAAGCAAAGTGCTTGGGTTCCTACAGCGTACTAAACCAAACCAAAACAAACCACACTGTAACTTAGTACATTGTGGTAACCAAGTCTCTGTGTACTTTGGGCGGTTTACTTCCCTTAGATTCTTGGGCAGACCTAGGGCTTCTTTTCCCTTGGAGCTCTGATTTCACATGCATCATTGGGTGGCAGATCCCAACAATTAAATGGAGGAGAGTGGTGAATGTGTTCAATGGAGTGCAAATAAGATTGTGGATCATCTGCCTATGGAAAGAATTTATTTATCCTACCCACTTGAAAATTTCAGTGGTCTCCCATCTTAATCAAATAGCTAACAAGGCATAAAAACAAATATGTATAAAACAGCCAAAAAGAACAATAAAAGACATCAGGTCATATTGTGGACCTGTTATGTGGAGATTTAGCTCTCTTGAGAAATCTATAACGTTGAGGAAGGTGGAAGGAAAGAAAAGAAGAGGATGACCAGCAGCACTGCAAAGAGCTGAAGGACCAGGCTGGGGACAGATCATCCTGGAGAAGGTCTTTCTATGTGGTTGCTAAGAGTTGACACTGATTTGATTGGACATAATCATGATCAATCAAAAATAAGTCCTTCATCAACACAGGGCAAAAACCCAAACTGGGTTCCATTAACAACTTGGCCCTAAAGCTTGAGGGAAGAGTCACTTTTTTAAGGCTAACAGAGTCAGGGCCATCCAAACCTGGGGGGAGGCTGCTTTGCAGGGCAGGTACTGCAACAGAAAAAGAGCACCAATAGAAGAGAATGTATGTAGCTCAGGGGTTGAACTGTGGAGTCCATGGTGCTCCCTGAGCTTGGTTGTTTGATTGCAGATGCTTTGTTACCCGGCTAGGTAACATCAGTGCCAGTGAGTGTGGGGTTTGCTCCCTGTTTATATATAGTAGGTTGCCCTGTCAGTGTTGGTGGGGTGTGGTTTTCTCCTTGGTAGTTTTTTGATTAGAGTATTGTTTTCTGTTTGATGGTTTGTCTGGTGTTAATCCCTGCTTATCTAGGTGTAGACTGCTGAAGAGGATGTGTTCTGGTCTTTTTGTTTCCTTCTTAGTTTTTTTATTGTCTCTTGAATGGTGTGTAAATGTGGTTTATCTCTATGTGTCTATTGATGGC